TAGCTGGAGGCAGGCCGCCGTGTCGAGCAGAGTCGACTTAATTTGCAGGATCAACGTCGAAACGTCGCGTGGATAATCCGGCGCATCCGAATTACACGCTCCACGTGCTGTCTGGATACGACGAGCACCTGCGGATTTAACGGAGGCGGAGGACGATTACTAATTAACCGGGATTTTGCCACCTGGATGAGAAGCGACCCCTCGGTTTGGCTCGCGCACCGTCTCTTAAGAGGAAAGGCTAGCTTTATTGATGGGTGGAGCTGGTTTTGTGGGTAGAGTCTTGGAATAGTTTTGCAATTAAACCAGGGTATTTTATTCTATTCACTGTGCGATTTCTGTTTCGAATAAGTGATACATTTTATGCGTGCTGTATGTTTTAGGGTACTGGAGAGAAAGTGGATCGAAGATTGACAAAAGGTTCTTTGAATCATGCCGCACCTCAACACCTCCAAGATTTGAACGCCTGTTCTAGCATAGCAGTCAAACAAGTGTTAAAAAATTGAACATAGGTGAAACTATTTTTAATTTGACTTTGAAAATAAAGTTTAATTCGATGTCTGCTGCAAAGAAGTTTTATTTGAGGTATTAATTTAGTCCAATTCAACCTCAAATCCACGCAATAAAAAAAAGGTTGACTGTATCGGTGATGAGATGACGAATTCAACATAATCTCCTAATTGCCCCACGTAAAAAAGGCCAGATAATTTATCATTTCTAGGACCATTAACTTTCTACTCATATTCCTTGGTGAATATGTTAAGTTAGACCTTTTCTGAAATACAAATGTTTTTAATCTATTTAGTACTTTTTCATACTTCTCGATGGTGAACGTGTTAAATTAGCTTAGACTTTTATATATTTCCTCTACTCAGATATATTTTTACACATATTGCACCTTTCTACCTGTTACGTAAATTGTATCTCACACAAAAAGTTGCCTATTCACGCACAACAATAATTGACTTCATCAAGAGCTTCTACACTCGGTTCAATTCAGCTGCAGTAATCCATAGCAAAATGAACCTGACAGTATTCAACGTGCTAATATGTAGCACTCATAAGATCCCATTGCAAGATCTTCGAGTGCACACACAGTAAGTTCGTGGAAGTTCGACGGAGGAGTTGCTCGATCGTTACACAGTAAACTAATTTCTCCGTCCGCCTCAACTCCAACAGAGCCGCCTTCGTCGATTCATCTCCGCGCACCTGACTAATTGTTCGAACCTTAATTAATCGGTCGTCAACTTCGATCGTGAAACGCTGCGTCCACGAATCGAACCACATAACACAAAAGTATGAAAAATCCAATGTATCATCTTATTCAGCCTGGGTGCCCTAGTAACGTAAGCAATAGCAAGCCAAAGTGGTCGACTAAACCCGCGGAAGAAAACAGAACGGAGAAACGAAAAGGACAGAAGAATAATATGAGCCGCGAGCGAGAGGAGCAAACGCATTTGCGAGCTTGCACTGTCGAAATCGTAATCTCCGGTGAGACAAAGCCTGTTCATTGTTCCAAGAGCCCCCGCGATTCTCACGGGCGCTTCCATTCAGATCGACCTTGGCAATAGCTCGATAGGGCACAAAAAACATCAACGCACACGTTCTCCAGACGGATCTTGGGCTCATTCGAAATTCACAGGCTCGGGGGTGAGCGAAAAATGGTACGGCGAAGGGGTGGGCTTTTCTAACTTGAAAACCGCAACACGTTAGCTGAGAGAGAGTGAAACAGAGCGAGGGAGGATAAAGCTACGAAAAGATTTCGTCGCTAATGGCAATCATTAAACGGGGACAACGGGATTTCATACGTGCACACCCGAAGATATGCGGCATCCGCGAATAGCTTGAAGGTGGATGAAAAGAGCGCGGTTGGGGTGTATCTCTGGTGGAGAAACTGGCAGCAGTAGAGAGTGAGAAAGAGACAGAGGGAGGGGAGGTGACGGGTGGGGCTATACTTAAATTACCTAGGAAGCATCGCTGGCATTCATACGTGGGATAAGCATTGTCATCCCGGGGGATTGTCTCATAGACACCTCGCTGGCACATGCTTTATGCTGGTAGAGAGGGGGGAAGCGGGGAGAACCTGTAGAGAGGGTGGCTCGGTGAGACGAAGAGGGACGGGGAGAGGTGAGGAAGTGGCAGTCGAACCTTTATTAGGTAGATAACCGAGATGCGAGCTGCGTTATATAGATGCCCATCCACGCTGAGCTGCCTCGTTTTACTCACTTCAATGCTTAATGGAATTACCACCCCCAATCCGTAGCACCCCTAGAGGTCGACAGGGGGGAGGGGAGGGAGGGAGAGTCGAAGGGACAGGCAGAGGCGGAGGACATGAGATAATTGGTATTTTGTCTCGCCAAATCCTTTGTATCGCGAGTTTTAATTGACTTCGAGATTTTTCAATACCAATTTGCACCCAACTGCATACAGTTAGTAGGAGTGTGTTAGTGGCCCGGTCGACTTTGTGCGGAACAGAGAGGGAGAAGGAAAAAATGGGATAGGAAGGAGAGAGAGACGTGAGCGTATTTCCCAGGATCCGGAGCCCGACGGAATGGCGACCATCCGTCGACGGATTTTTTCTCCCTAGCCGAGAGGAAGAGAAGAGAAGAGAGAAGTCCAGCTCTCTCCGCTTTTTCTCCTATTTTTCGCGCTTTAATCGCTTCCTCCCTCTGTTTACCGTTCTCTTATTGGCGCTACGTCGCCCGCTCCCGTTACCCGTTGCTTCGACGAACGGCATCGACGATTTTTTAAATAGCAGCAGATTTTGATAGCAGTTTTATTCGGCAGATTCTCGCTATTATGCCGTCGGGGACAATGGGGACGCAAAGCAATAGCCTCCAACGGTCGTGCAAAATAAATTCTGCAAAACTGTTTAAAATAATATTTTCCCCTGGGGGCAAAAATTCGCAGATACCTCTTTCTTTCCTTTCGTTGCACGGGAATAATAAATAAATATACTTAGTAGAAAAAAATTTTCCTGTTTAACCCTGCTGTGCTGTGTTGCAGCAGGAAAAAGTACGAGAAAAGAAAAAAAAAACGCTATGAATCGAGTTGGAACGAGTCGCGGGGTTTCAGCACTTGGTTTGAAAATACGGAGGAAAAGCTTAATCGATTATTCGAAAATCGAAGTAAGGAGACACCGAGGCGAGGCGTACGCGCGCCTCCGCGACAACAAAAGCACAAACGACTAATGCAGTTCACCGACAGAGGGAGGGAGGGAGGGAGGGAGACAGAGAACGCTTTTATTCGTTCGCATTGCTGAATGTCCTTTGGGAGCGGAGGGCGCGGTGAGTCGAGATTGGGAAAGGGGCACCGCTCGCTCCTTTCGCCGCTGTTGCTTTCCATTCTAATCCAAGTGCCTGTCGTCGAGAGATTTTTTTGCATTGTTCCTCAGATTTCCCACAGGAAAGGAACCGGCAGATTTCAGCCCGGTATTGTTTCTGCACCGGGGCGAGAGAAGGACGCGAAACATGCGAATTCTGATTAATTACTCGACGAAACGACCCCGAATTAGTTGGCTGGCAAAGAAAAACGCCAATGATCATTCACCCTCTCGCGTAAATTGTGTCAGATCATTACGCCGCTCGTAACACGATTGCATTTCCTTAAAAAGCAACGTGAAAGACGTTGTTTAATGACGAAATAGAAATTCACTCGGCAACGGTTTCATACCCAATTACGAAGCATTAAATGCAATTAATGGTAATTACTCTCTGGAGTTTTCGAATGAAAGAATTTTCCATATTCGCGATGCAAAGGAAGAATTAAAAAAAGAAAAAAAAAACTGAAGAAAAAAGAAAACGAGTGCTGAACTGTATCTCTCCACGGGAAAAATAGCTTCGCTGAAGCCCCTCGTTTGAAAAACTAAAATTACCCCCCTTGTTCTTCCGCTCTAGACATTATATCCAAGCTACGCATAGGTAAAAACGTGAAACAGAAATTGTTACCGGAAAATTGAAATCCCGGATAGTCGGAAGATAAGACTGATGATAAATCAAGCTTCCAAAGTAGCGAAAATAACCACAAACCCACGATGAAGATATTTTTCGAGGTCAAAGAGACACTACTATAATACACGATGATCGTAGCTAAAAGGACTTAATCCACTCGAAGATCCTCGAGCTCGTTGACCAAGAATCCTCCGCGTCGTCGTCGTCGTCGTTGTCGTAGCGCAGTTCAGAAGGGATGAAACAGCAGGTAGGGGCTGAGCGTAACCAATTATCGCGCGATATCGCGCTGCCGGTGGCGTGCAAAGCAGTACACGAATAGAGGTAGTCAATAACGGGCAGCCTATACGCTATTTGTACTTCATCGTATCGAGGTAATCGATAATAATAATTGCAGCTCGCGGTCTCCGAGGCAGCAGCAGCAGCCCTCCTCAGTTCAGCCACGGTACAGAGGGGTTGCTGCTGTTCCTGCTCGGTTGTGCTGGTGTCACTTAGTGGGGAGAAAGGGTAGAAAAGGTACGCGTGCACCGAGGCAAACCTCGACGAATAGCGTGAAGAGGGTCGGTTCGTGGGCGCGGC